AAAAAAAAAAAAAAAGCGAGGTCAAATACTTTAATGAGAAAAGGTATCTGGAAATTTTCTAATGAGTAGACTTAAACTATTTTAAATAGCTCAACATGAACCAGTAAACATTTTTTATTTCTTTATAGTTACATCTTGTCTAGCCAAGACAGAACTGGTTCAACCAAGCAAGTGTGTGCTGTCAAAGATTCTTTGGAAGGTTCTGCTCTTACCTCATTAGATTGTCACTGGTGACATTCTTGTGAGAACTCATCCATTGTAACTGCATGGATGTCAGCATATAATTTTGAAATGTGACCCCATTTAGTAAATGAAATATTCATTAAGCTTCTCTTCAAGGGACATTTGTCTGGCTCTAAAACTCAATTGGTCCTTAAAATAGGATGGTGCCAGGCAGCACCTGTGGCTCAGGGGGTAGGGCACTGGCCCCATATACCAAGGGTGGCAGGTTCAAACCCTGCCCCAGGCAAACTGCAACAAAAAATAGCTGGGCATTGTGGCAGGTGCCTATAGTCTCAGCTACTTGGGAAGCTGAGGCAAGAGGATCACCGAAGCCCGAGAGTTGGAGGTCGCTGTGAGCTGTGACGCCACAGTACTCTACCAAGGGTGACAAAGTGAGGCTCTCTAAAAAAAAAAAAAAATAGGGCCATGCCCATAGCTCAGTAGGTAGGGCATCAGCCACATATACGAAGGCCGGCAGGTTAGAACTCAGCCCGAGCCAGCTAAAGCAACAATGACAACTACAACAACAAAAAAAATAGTTGGGCTTTGTGGCAGGTACCTGTAGTCCCAGCTACTTAGGAGGCTAAAGCAAGAGAATCACTTAAGCCCAAGAGTTTCAAGTTGCTGTGAGCTGTGATGCCACAGCACTCTCCTGAGGGTGACATAGTGAGACTCTGTCTCAAATAAATCAATAAAATAAAGGGGAAAACCCACCCTTTATTGAGTACCTACTAAGTGCTGGGAACTGTGGAAGATGGATTCTCTTGCAATGGTCTTTCCTGCGAGGAACTAACCCCTTTCTATTTCACATGGAGAATTAATGATTAGTATATTAAACATTTCCCTCCAAGACACAAAGTTAGTAATGAGGCCGTATTGAGACACCAGGTCTGCCTGATCTTCTCCATACCTAACTCATTGTTATAAAGAACCCAAATTGCGTTTCAGATTGTGTGAAAACACCACACTGTACCCCAGAAGTGCATTAATGTACATAGTTACCATTCAATTAAAAAAAAAAAGACCCCAAATTGCATGTAGAATGGTAGGCAACTGCAAGAGTACAGGTTCCAGAAATGTTCTGAGTGGGTGTAACATTCCTAGGCTAGGTATATAGATTCCTAAGATAAGGACCTGGATGTCACTGAAACCAAACTGTTTTACTAACAAAGGTGTCAAAACTCAATGATCCACTACATTGCTTTAATCCCCTGTCATACATGAAGGATTTCTTTCCTTTACACTACACCTACACGTCAGTGGAGTTCCTGGGGGCCAGGTAAGTATCAAGACTACAGCTTAGTGTGACTAGGTAGCCTGCGCAGGGTCACTGGAAAGGAGAGAAGTTGGTTCCTGCACTCAGCCCTACATACCCCAAGGACCTGGCTGCTGGCAAGAGCACCACAGCCACTTCCCAGGAGGGAGCCAATGGCAGGGACAGAACTGGAACCCAGGTGGCCAGATTCCTACTTTGGTGTTCTTTCTACCCAACTGCACCAAAGCAACTGTTAATATACAGCTTCCACTCAAGTTTACGAGATAGTACCAGAAAGCAAGCTCGGAATCCGCAGCAGAAAGAGTACAAGGGAGACTTACATCCAAGGCATCCTGAGTTTCTTGCTTTGAAGGATTCTCTCGATGTAACCGTTCATAAATCACAGTGTCCGCTCCTTTACAATAAAGCCTGATGTTGCCTTCTGGGGTTCTTACTGGTAGAAAGGGGAGGAAAAGCACACAGCAAAGTTAAGTTTGATTTCTTAGCAGAAAGCCACCTTTGTCAAGTTCATCTGAACTGTTGCTGTGCTCATCAATCACGATTTGCTCAAAATCATCAACGTATCTTACCACAAGATGGTCAGTCTGAAAAGATTCCTCCACAGTCAGCTCAGTTTTCTATTTCTTTATTCTTCTAACAAATATTTGCTGACTTTCTACCATGTGCTATGCTCTGTGCCAGCTACTTTCTCCCAGAGAATTGTCCTTGTACATGCCAGCCACCAGGAACCTGTCTCACTTATGAACTCACAACTCTTACTGCCTTTAATACTCAAACCACATTCACTCCTTGTGACCATCTTCTTGTATTTTTTGATCTATGTAATAAGTTAATCTAAGTATATGCCTCATTGCTAACTAGTCTAGGTAGGTACAGGCTTGGTGAATAGTCTAGATCTGTGCCTAGTGGGAGTGCAATAGTCAGTTAAGTCTGTATTTTTACTCATTTAAATTTTTTTTTTTTTTTAGAGACAGAGTTTCAATCTGTTGTCCTCGGTAGAGTGCTCTGGCATCACAGCTCACAGCAACCTCCAGCCCTTGGGCTTAGGCTATTCTCTTGCCTCAGCCTCCCAAGTACCTGGGACTACAGGCGCCCGCCACCATGCCCGACTATTTTTTTTGTTGTAGTTTGGCCAGGGACAGGTTGGAACCCACTACCCTTGGCATATGGGGCCGGTGCCCTACCCACTGAGCTACAAGCACTGCCCCTATTCATCTAAAATTTTAACACCATAGTGGAGAAGGCTTGTGGATACCTCCTTCACCAAGTGGTCAAAGTTAACATCCCCAGTGAGACAGATCAACATGCTAAGTTTTCTGCTATGATACTTGGAGAAGAACATCAGTGCTATAGCATCATAGCTCAGATGACATGGCACTCTACAGTGCCATGGAAGTGGAATCTTACAGATTCTTGCTGCCAGCAATGCATAATCATGAGACATTATTAGAAAAACCCAAATTGAGGGACATTCTACAAAATAATCTGGCCCAGGCTGGTGTAAGCATGTCATGCCTGTGACCTCAGCGTTTTGGAAAGCTGAGGTGGGAGAATCATTTGAGGCCAGGAGATTGAGACCAGCCTGGACAACAAAGCAAAATCTTGTTTCTACCAAAAAATTAAAAAATTAGCTGAGAATAGTGACATGTGCCTGTAGTCTGAGCTACTTGAGAGGCTGAGGCAGGAGGGTCGCTTGATCCTAGGAGTTCAAAGCTGCAATGAGGTATGAATAGGCCTTATACTCCAGCCTGGGCAACAGGCTATCTCTAAAAACAAAAACAAAACAAAACAAATCTCACCTATACTTCTCAAATATGTCAATATATAAAAAATTGAAGAAAGGTTAAGAACTGACACTTATTTGGCCATGATCACCCGATAGAACCTGCCACTTGGATTAGTTCCTGGATCAGAAAAAACGAGAGGGAGGGAATTTCCTGGTAAAATCTGAAAAAGTATGTATTGGGTTAAATTTTTTGACTCTGGACATCATGCTGCATATACAAGTGAGTGCTCTTGTTCTTAGGAAACACCCACTACCGTATTTAAGGAAAAGGGGCCTCAAAGGTCTGCAATTTACTCTCAAATGGTTCAGAAACCCCTTTATGTTTTGGGAAAATGACAGTGACAATGTGGTGATTATTAACAATTAGTGTATATGAAAGAGCGTACAGGAGTTTGTTAAACCATTCCTGCCACTTTCGTGTAAATTTGAGATTCAAAATTACGAACTTTAAACAAATTCAGTTTTAGGAAGTGACTATCCTCTCTGCTTGGTGGTCTATTACATGCCTGGGTTGAAGGTTTTAGTTTGGAAGCTTTTCTCAGATCTCATCTCCTGCTCAGTATTCCCTTCCCTGCCATCCAGCATAGAAGTGCTCACAGGGCTTGAAAACAAGGGAACATATGTCATGGGCAGTGCCACAAAGTCCACCTGTCACTTCAGGTATGTTGTATCTGCCAACCCAGATTCCGCAGCCGGCAGCCCTCAAGCCTGTAATCCCAGCACACTGGGAGGCTGAGGCAGATGGATCCCTTGAGCTCGGGAGTTGGAGACCAGGCTGAGCAAGAACGAGACCCTGTCTCTAAAATTAGCCAGGCGTGGTGGCAGGTGCCTGTAGACCCAGATACTTGAGAGGCTGAGGCAAGAGGATTACTTGAGCCCAAGAGTTTGAGGTTGCTCTGAGTTATGATGGGATGGCACTCTACCCAAGGTGACAAAGTGAGACTCAGTATCAAAAAAACAAACAAAAGGAACAGCATCCACATTTGCAAGATTCAGATATGCTGCAACTTGAGTAAGGGATATGGTGAGGAATGAAGAAAAAAATACCAGTTTGAATAAGTCTGTGGCCACCTTCCAGGACCCAACTACTGTTCATTCATCACCTACTTTATCCTAGTGGCATGTCACTCAGTGAAATGGGCAACAGGCAACATTTAAATGAACGAATCATAAACAAACTCTGAGGGAGTCTTACTAATGATAGACATTCGCTTCCGGTCACTGTTGAAGTCCAAAATGGCGAGAACGCTGTAGGTCCGCTCGGTCCCCAGCTCACTGACGGTGATGGTGTTCTGGGTCCGGTTGAGGAAGACAAAGCCGAAGTTCCTGGCGGCGTTCACCAGGGCGCCTTCATCAGGGGAGGCTGCCTGGTAGTTGAGCTGACCTAACAGGGAAGCAGGAGAGAAGTCCCAGAGAAGATGTGAAACTCAACATGGATCTCCTGACTGTGACCGAGGCCTCTGCTGAGGTCCCCACGGGGGGAGAGGAGGCACAGCAAAGTTTAGGGCACAGCCAGGAAGACAAGCCACTGACTCTGAGAATCAGACCAAGATTAAAACACTTTAGGCTTTTTTTTTCTTTTGAGGCAGAGTCTCACTTTGTCGCCCTCAGTAGAGTGCTATAGCATCATACCTCAGAGCAACTTCCAACTCTTGGGCTCAAGATGTTCTCTTGCCTCAGTCTCCCAAGTAGCTGGGGCTATAGGCACCCGCCACAATGCCTGGCTATTTTTAGAGACGAGGTCTCTGGCTCAGGCTGGTCTTGAACTTGTGAGCTCAG